CGGGCTTTTGGCCGACTGACTCTGTTGCTGCGTCTCCTCTGGCCCCCCCTTTTCCCCCCTCCACACCCCTGGCCAGAGCTCGCCCGAACGATGACGGGCAGAGCCGCAGCATATGACAAAGATCCAGTGCAATTTCGTTAGTAGTAAGTAGTTCTACGCAGGGAGGGAGAGAGCTGCACGGGTGTCACGGCTGCTCAGAAGAGATCTCCATGGATAGCTGAAGGAGACTAAGGCAGGCTGTGGGAAGCAATCGACATATCTGGAGCACCCCCACCGAGCATGGACTCGACCTGACTTCACAAGCCAGCTCGTCATCCAATAAATGGTTAGAACTTGGTCCCCCCCGCCCCCCCCCCCCCTCCCCCAAAACCCCAAGCCTCGGCTTCGAGCTTGACCTTACCTGACTGGACTCGATAGTCTAGCATACCCTTCAACTCACCCCCATCGATCAATCTCACCTATGGCACCTTGAACCTTCTTCCTCTAAGCGAGGAAAGATGCTCACCCACTGGATGCGGGGCGAGCCATGTTGGTATTGCAGGGGCGACTAGCCTTCAACACCACGGCAAGCAGGCCCCGTCGGATTGGCTTTGTTGGATCGTTCCTTCTGACTCTCATAGGCACAACCTTCCTGTCTACATGTACTACCTATCTCTTGGGCAGGCAAGGGGCCGGAGGCAGGTTCCTCGCGGCGTGAATTGATCAGCTAGCTACTCAGGCGGAAATCTCGATTGGCGCGGTCAAGTGCCGGCCTTGGTATTTGCCCTCAGTTCGTTTGCGGGGGGGGAGGGGCGGGTAAACTGTCCGCCTGCATTACATGCCACCAAGGTACATCTATCCCATCTACTCTCCGTAGGTACCTGGCCTGAAGTCCAAGTCAAACTTCATGCACCTCTCATCACGACGGTCGATCATCAGCAACTCAACCTTGGAAACTTGAATTGGCCTATGCCAGGCCCTCAAACACCCCCGTGCGCTGCCCAGGATCTTGCCAGTTCAACCCCCCTGGACCCATGCTCACACCCGTCCCATCCATCCTCGCTCTTGTCTATGTATGGCAGCATGATCGCCCCAACCTGGCATGCCTGTCTACATGTACGAGGGCCAATGCTGCACTCTTTCAAGGTCAAACTCGAGCCCGCAGCAAAGCTCAGACGCACTTCACGTCGCACAACAGCACAGCAGCCGGCGGTGATCCGGCTGCCCCAACAGCAACCCAAACGGTTCTGGGCTTTTGCACGGCCTGCGCCTGAAGCCTCCACACATACTCGTCGAGCTGGCACAGACGGTGATTCCCCATTGCCAACGAAGCATGTACCCGCACATCCCGTGGTGTTTCCACGTGCACCAGCAATAAATAACTGACCATCCTGCACAGTTTCCGGATCTTCCGCATGCAAGGGGACTGTGCCTGTTGATGAACACGACCAGTTCTGCATACGACTGGCGCCCGTTGGGGTGGACAAGACAAGCAACCAGCATACTGGACAACCACGCTCGCTCGCCGTCTTCCACGACCACTGTGCTTTCAGCTCCGAGGTCGCCGCCAGTTGCCCAATGCTTGGTACCTGAGGAGCCCTGCTCCTACCGAACACTAGATGGATCGCCGATGCGAAGGCACGACGATTACCCATCGTACCCTCCAACGTCTCCGTTTGTCTCCGCTTGAGTCAGTTCACCATGCGTCAGTCGCCGTTGCAGCCGACGATGATCCCTTCAGATGGAATTCCTAGCTCCCTTTTTTCAGCTTTTCCTCTCTGACTTTCCCCACAATCTCCTTTACTACCAATTTCGCAGTGGGGGCTCCACTCATAGCCGCCTGTCATCTCAACTCTTTTTCGACACCTCTGACGTGCCCAGAGTAAGGCCTGTGCTCCAGAAAAAAAAAATCACGATAAGTATCGCGAAGCCTCCCGGAAACACCGTCTCGGTCGCCCAGCTAGACAGGGCCGTCGGAGCCCGCGGTTGATTTCGTCCCTCGGAGCTGAAGTTTGTCTTCGAGTTGACACCCCCCGAAGCCCGTAACACAGTGTCTACGCTGAAGCTGACTGGAGAGTGGAAGGTGGAGTGCGCGAATGCCCTCTTCTTCTAGCCACTCCCATAACGAGGGGCTGATTCAGCTTGGAGAGCCCTGTACGCCAAGGATACCGGCGCCTCGTGGCTACGTTACCGTCCGGGTGGGAATGGAGACCTGCCAAAGCCATGACTTTGCTTCTCTCGCCTTCATTCTGGGTCGTCAACATCCTGTCAGCCAACGGGCTCTGTTTGCTAGCTCTCAGACTCCCAATGGCCGTTGGTTGACGCCAATCCAATGCAGGCTACCCATTCGTTTGGACCGTCGGCCCCGAATCGGGATGCTTGGAGGCAAAGGGAGGGGGGTGCAGATGTGGTGCCACGCATACTAGGCACAGCAGGCATCTTGGATCGGCTGTGAATGGCTGCGAATGTAATTTGATATCGACCCTCGAGGTGACATCGAATTTCGACATCCTAGATAGGCTGCTTCAACAAACTTGGCTTCCGAGGATATCTTCCGGGCTTATTGGTAAGTCGAATTAAAGCAGAGCGATAGAGCGTTTGCGTTGCTACCTTGCCAGGAGTGATCACCTCTCAGACGGAACCTTGCACGATACCAAGTACGACCTATTGCAGACCCGCTCATGTCCAGCAATCAGATGCATCAGCCAGTCCTCTCGCCTCAGTCCAGAAATGAAGCTCCGTGCACCTGTCATGCGTTTACAAACAGTCGACCTCCGACAGCGACAGGTTTTGGGGTCGCACAGGGTGTGTTACACAGCATTTTGCGCACGCCACAGTTCGCCATTTGGGGGTAAGAAGAGCAGAGAGCTTTCCAACCCTGGTAGGCCTGGCCATTAGTCCTGTTATTTCGAAATGGCACAGCGCGGGGTATCGCTGTCGGGAATATGGATCGTTCATGAGTCTGTTCCTGTGACTCAATGCCGCCCGTCAAGTCAGGCCATGTCTCTGATCAAGTCGTTTCTTCACGGCTTTTGCAGGTATTATTCTGCAAGTCTGATATTGCTTGAACCTTGACTGAGCCGCGGACCAGGGAGTGTCCGGTGACAGTGCGCAAGCAGTATGCAAGCCCGCTAGGGCGCTGGGACCAGTGTTGGTGTGCAACTGAGCTCGCCGGCCTCGAACAGTAACATACTGGATCAGGGACCATTGCGCTGGTGCAAGACGTTCTGCATGCTCGCTTTCGTCCAGCTAGGTCGATGACCCCATTCTTGGAACGCTCCTGGACCTGCGCGTCAGGCCATCTGACCCCTAGATGGCGTCCAGGGGGTTTCTCGTCACGCTCGCTCAGCAGAACCCGTCCCTTGTCGCCGTACCGTATGTATATACGTGAAGACAACATCAGAAAGCAAACACCTCCAGCACTGGGCCGCATCCCTCACGCTGGGGCAACATGGCCCCGGCGGTGAGGATTGGACGAGCTAATGCAGTCATCTCTGTCACATCCCAGCTACTAGTCCATCCACCCATACCATCAGCCTGGCGACACAAATGTCCGAATACAGGTAGCAGGCGACGGCCGGGCGCGGCTTGGCAGCTCCGATCACCTCCCATGGCGCCGTGTCGGTGCCACCTTGACGACAACTGTCCCACAACAATGGCCCACCCATGCTTCTTGTCTCAAAATGGGGGAGAGTTCTGCACAACAGCAGCCATGCTTCACCTCGTGTCTCTGCCACCCCCGCCCGAGCTTCCGCCAGTGGTTCCTTTTGAGTACAGTACAGCGAGCGCCCTTTTTTCAAATGTCTCTGCAACCCGGATGCCACACGCCATGCGAGATTGGTGAGGCGAAGGGGTAAGCAGACGGGCGGGCAATGTCCCAGTTCTAGACACGCCTGTCGTCATGGGAGGGGGGCGGAGACGGGACCTGAAATGTGAGGCCAAGGAAAAACGCCATGGTGCCCAGGGATGTGCCCTGCCAATGTCGCACACGGCTCGCATGGCAATGTGTTCATTGCCCTTACTTTTTTTCGTGTATTTATCTCTAGCTGCCTCGGGACACACGCACGCCGGGCACTTAGCCGCACTGTTCATCACCAACTCAAAGTAGAGGTATCGAAGATCCGACCTCTGGGTGGCGCGAGGCTGACTAGCCCGCCGCCTGGGCTGGGGTAGACAAAAGCCACAAAAACGACGCCCCCGCTTACTGCCTGCCGCCAGCCGCCTGCCGGCCTGGAGCCTGGCTCCAGACTAAGGGACCGAGCCAAGGATGGCAATCGCAGGTTATCCTCCTAGCTGGGCGGTTGAACGCAAGCGAGTTCGCCCTGAAAAGCCCATCGTTGCTCCATCGGTCACTGAATGAAAGCTGATGGTCTGGGTGGCGCTCGTAGCGGCCCCCTTCTGCCTACCTAGGTAGCTAGCGAAAGTCCCGTGTTGAATAGACGTCGTCATGCCGTTCTCCCTTGGCGATAGCCTAGGAGATGCGAATTGCTGCCGGCTTGTTGTCAGTGAAGTGTGTAAACTGGCTGTATTGAGTTTTGAGCCCTCGCCCGTCTCGATCGTGCAGGGTCTCTCCGCTACTGAGAAAACGCGAACAGACGGAGCTTCATGGCGACACTGGGGTACACATTCTGACCATGCCGGAATATGCGAATTCAAACACAGGGCTGGCAAGATATACCCAGCGCCTTTGGTTTTTTTTCCACCCCGACAAGCGCGCGACCAGGTATGTAGAAGTAGCTTTACACCAGACCAGACCTCTGATACAAAACGGGTCAGACTAAAAAAAAACAGGTTTCGCTTTTTTCTTTTCTTTTGGCCATCCGTCTCAGCACCCCGCCACCCCGACAGCCTTCTCGATGACGAGTGGATCAATGCTGACGACCCGTTGGGCCACGCTGCTTATCAGCCCCCTTGCCCTCCCCTCCCCCCCCTCGCTTGAAGTGGCAAGCGGATTCCCCCGCTCCGTAGTGACGGCCAGATCCAATCCCGTGCTTTCACAAGCGTATTCCCGAGACACCTCATCAAGTCTCCGTCTCGAGACCAGCCTGCTTGACGAGCCCGTAGAATACGCCCTGCTTCTTCAGTAGTGCCTTGGGTGAGTCAAACTCGACGACCTCGCCCTTGTCCAGCACAACAACGCGGTCGCTGTCGAGGATGGTGTTGATGCGGTGCGCCACGGTGATGATGGTGCGGTTTGCGAAGAGGGGAGACCGCAGCGTCTGCTGCAGCATGGCATCCGTCTCGACGTCGACGGCGGCTGTCGCCTCGTCGAGAACCAGAATGTTGGAGGGGGTCAGCATCGCACGCGCGAGGGAGACGAGCTGCCGCTGGCCTTGGGAGAGGTTGGACCCTGTGTGTCGTCAAGTCAGTGGGCTGCGCATTGTCAAGTGACATGATGATGTTTGGTGGTGGGCAACGCTATCCAGGGTGAAGCATGCTGCCGTCTGTGACATGACTGAGAGTCCGTCGAGGCAGACAGAGGAGCTACAGCACGGGACGGCGACCATCTGCATGTAAGGCAGATCATGCAGGGGACAGTAAATGGAACAGATGGACGCATTTGAAAGATGACGACCAAGCCAATGTCCGTGGTTGCGCGACGCGCCATGTCGTTGCCATCATGACAAGCCCAGTAGACAGGCACGACAGCATTGATGGATGCACACGAGATGGCCGCCTCAGTCATCCACAGGGTACACGGGGACGGGTGCGAGCAGCAATCACACGAGGAAATGGCAAAAGCCGACGGAAAGCGAAGAAGCGGCGGCGCGCGAACTTACCTCCTTCATTGATCTTGGCCTCGAGGCCACCCTCCATGCTGTCGACGTGGTCCTTTAACCGGGCGTGATCTGTGATGACCGAGCATTAGCTTCCAGCCTAATGTGTTGCTTGTGTGACGAAAGAAAACTCACCAAGTACGCTCCATAGCTCCGTGTCATCATGTACATGACCGGGGTCCAAGTTGTCGCGAACGGTACCCTCAAACAGGGCGGCGTCCTGGGGGATGATGGCCAGTCTCCTGCGGAGGTCCAACAACCCTATAGAACTCGTATTAAGACCATCAATGCTGATGTTGCCCGTGGTGGGCTCGATGATGCGGAACAGCGCAAGCGTCAGTGACGACTTTCCTGCACCCGTCCGCCCGACGACGCCGATTTTCTCGTGAGACTTGATATCTAGGGATATGTTCTTGAGAACGAGGTCGAGGCCCTCGCGGTAGCGAGTGCTATAGTTCTTGAACTCAAGACTGCCATTCGCCGGCCACGTGACCGGAGGTCGGCTCTCCTTGATGACCTCCGGCGCTTCGGCCGGCAGACGGGCGTACTCGAGGACACGCTCGACCGAGACAATGTTGGTCTCGACTTCGACAGTCTGGCGCACGATCCAGTTGAGGGATGTCGTAATCTGCAGGGCGTATGACATGGATAGACCGACCAAGCCGGCCTTGAGACCGCTGTGGTTTGTCACGGATATGATGGCAAGGCCGGCGGCGGCCAGGATGACGAGAGCACCCATAAACTCAAGACGTACAGCCAGCCAACGGTTGGCGCTGATGGAGGGGTAGAACGCCTTGAGGTTCGAATCGACTCGCCACTCGTTTTCGAGCTCGAATCGCTGCTGCTGTCGGTACGCCCGAATGGTCGAGACACCACCTAGTGACTCCTGGAAGTGTGCATAGATGGGGCTGCGACTAACGCTGTCCAACCTCTTGAGCTCACGAGACGTTCGTAGGTAGTACCGCTGGATCCAATAGTAGGTCAGGGCGAGTGGAATGATGAATGCAATAAAGGCCGGCGTAGACACGGAGATGACCGCAAGCGTGAAGCAGGATCGAGCCAGATTAACGAAGAGCATGTTGAAAGTCCGGGCGAGCACCTCGTCCACTCGATAGATGTCACTGCATGAAAAACGTCAGCCGTTGCACTCCCGCGCCTCTTCAGTAATTGCCTTAGACATCCACCAACGTGCATCAGGGGCACGCACCGAGCTCGGCTCGAAACGCCACGCAGATTGGTGTTCAAAGTACGACCATGAAAGAATGAAGCGGCTCAGTATGGGGTGGCACGAACCTGGAGAAGCGATTCAGGATGCGGCCTGTTGGTGTGACGTCAAAAAATGACATGGGTGACCGGAAGATGGCATTGGCCATTCTCTCATGCAGCTTCCTAGAGGCCTGTTGTGTATCAGTATGATGTCGTCCGAAGCATGGTGGCAACGGCGATGCAATGCTTACCTCTATGGAGCAGAAAATCCACAGGATGAGAGTTTGCAGAACGGTAAGGAGGGAAGAACCAATGCCGAAGGCAAAGTAAATGCCGATGAACATGCCGACCTTGGGGTTGCCGTGGTGCTTCTGATTGTATTCTGCCCAGATATTGAGCCAGACCGAACCACCAATGTTGGCCGTCTGCGAAGCTAGCAGTGCAATTAGGTAGACGGCGACCGCCACAAGGTTGCTGTTCTTCGCATACTCAAAATAGACGTCCCACTTGACCTTGCCCTGTTCCGTGTGCTCTTTGCCCTGTCGTGTACGGCTGCCAGCAACCTCTTCGTCGGTGAGTTTGCCGCGGGGACCTCGGAAGCTAGCGGTGCTAGCACGCCTCAGAGTCGCCATGCTGTCGGATCGCTTCTTGGCCGAGGTGGAAGCGCCTGTCTTGATGGGTTCCATTTCGGGGACACGCTCTTGAGCCTCCTCCATTTCGTCCTTCTCCTGACCCGTGGTCACAGGTTCGAGGACGGTAGTCGATGTGGTGCTAGAGCGACTGGAGCTGGCCTTGGACGAGGAGGGGCCAGATGATTCTTGACCAGCTGTCTTGATGAGATCGGAGACCATGCCCTTCATAGCCACAAGTTGCTTGTATGTGCCCTTCTCCACGACCTGTCCATCCTTGATCATGGTAATGTAGCTGGCGCCTTGAAGGACGAAGATGGAGTTGGTGGCCAGGATGCGAGTCTTGGTGTTCAGTAGGCCCCTGGGGCCAAGGACATTCTCGGTGATGTGCTTGCCTACGTGGGAGTCCACGGCCGAAAGGACATCATCAAGAAGATAGATGTCAGCACGGGCATAGACAGCGCGGGCCAGTGCCACACGCGCCTTCTGTCCACCGCTCAGGGAGATGCCACGCTCGCCGACGACAGTCTCATCTCCGTCGGGCAGTTGAGCAAAGTCGTCAACCAGGGCGCAAGCCTTTACAGTTTTTTCATAAAACGTAGAGTCGTAACGGTATCCAAAGATGATGTTCTCCTTGACCGTAGCGTTTAGAATCCATGGGGACTGCGCGACGTAGGCGACGGTTCCGTGTACTTCGACTTGGCCGTTGATCTTCCACAAATCACCGAGGATACTTTGCAGGAACGAAGACTTGCCAGCTCCGACGCGACCAACGACGCACGAGAGCTCTCCCTTGTAGGCGGTGAAGTCAATGTCACGAAGGACAGTCTTGGACTCATGACGGTTCCAGGAGAATGTGCCGCCACGGATGACGACGGTTTCTTCGCCCATGTCCTCAGGAGCAGGCTTGACAACAATGGCATCGGGCTGGATCTCTTCGGCACCCAGGAAGGAGGTCAGACGGCCGACGGCGACACTTGCCTCCACGATGGATGTTATCACCATAGGGAGAACGGCAAGGGGGAACGTCAGGAGGTTGAAGAGAGCTGCGAGCCCCCAAGTCAGCACAATGCCGAAGGTATGGACTCGGCGAGGCAAGGAAGGGGAAAGGGGGATGGGAGCTTACCGAGAGCAGGGAAGACAATTTCGGTGGTCAAGGGCTTGTCTTGGGTCAAGACAAATACGGTAAAGGTCGAGCACGAAACGAAGAAGGGCGCTGTGCTCCAGGTGAAGTTGGCAAAGGCCTGTGTTGCTCCAATCTTGCGCAGGTTCTTCAGCTCCATATCGTTTCGGACAAAGTTGAGCTTGTTCATGAAGGCAGCACCCCAGGCATACAACTTGATGCTCTTCATGTTGTTGATGATCTCGTTAATGAGACGACTTCTTGCGTCCTTGTTCTTCATCTGCTCCTTCTGCAGGTTACGCATGATTCGGGCAATGAAGCCATGAGCAGGCATCATGATGACCATAACACCGACACCGGCGAGCATGGACCATCCGACGAGGTTGTACAACGACACCATACAGATGACGATTTGGAACGGGGCGGACCAAACTTGCTGAGCAAATTGCGTCAAGTCCTGGAGGCGCTGGGCGTCAACAGCCATGAAGTTGACGATGTCACCGGTGGACTTGGAAGCACGTCCCTCGTTGGAGAGCTTCATGGACTTTTTGTAAATGGCAGAGGCCAGGCCGCCCTTGATGCGCATACCCGTGACGAAGGCAAGCTGGAAGTATTGATGGACCATGGCGGTCTGGAAGGTAGCGCAGCCAAACATGCCGACGGCAATGGCGGCACCCTTGATGACGGGCTGGGGCTGCTCGCCGTCACCGTAGGAGCTGACAAAGGCTATGAGCAGGCGGAGAAGCTGGGGTTGGATGTACTGGGAGACATCGTTGCCAAGCTTGAACAGAGCGGCGACGGCGTAGGGCAAACCGTACGCGCGGAACAGGGCAAGCCACAGCGAGGGGCCCTTGCGGTTCTCCAGCTGGCGCTTCCAGGCCTCGTCGAAGGCTTCGCCAGTGCTCTTGGTGGTGTCCTGGTGGGCGAGTCCCCAGAGGTCCTCTTCGGTCAGGTACTGCTTGTAGCCCAATTGCATGAGGGGCGTCATCCAGGAGAAGGTCAGCTGGGAGAAGACGGTGGCGTATTCGACAGGGCACTCTTCTTCATCGATCAGGACCTCGTAGGCGGTCGTCTTCCTCGGCCACAACCACTCGACAAGGAACTCGACGACAGACAGACCGACGCCGACGGTGTACGTGATGAAGTAGGGCAGGTTCTTGTGGTACATCTGCTGGGAGATGAGGGATCGGAGCTTGACAGCAAAGGCAATCAGGAGGAAGAGCCAGAAGAGAAGAGCGACGCCGTTGGGGTTGCGAAGGCGGCCATGCTCGAGCCACTGGATAGCAAAGATGACGCCAAGCGCGAGAATGGTGGCAAAGGTGGTGTACACGCGGAAGTCGCCATACCATATGTTGGGGTAGCTGGCAATCTGGATGGCAAGCTGGACGGCCACGTCTAGCATGATGACGACAAGAAGGGCTTGTTTTGTGTAAAAGGACCAGTCCTTCGGGGTGTTGGCGGGCTTCGTCTTCTTGAGCAGCCAGACGGTGGCCATGGTGCCGAAGACGATGCCAAAGGCGGCGACGACAGCGACCCAGACGTCAATGAAGCAGGGCGTGAAGTCATATCGGAAGGGGCTCAGAGGTCCCCAGCCCTCTTTGTTGCCGCATAATGGTTGCTTGAAGTGGTCGGTAGCGGAAAGGTAGTCGCTCCCAAGCTCGAGGCGTGGACGGTAGCCGGTGATGGACCCGGACTCCAGGACCCTCTGCGCCGCTCCGTAGAAGGAATTGGCCATTGTGGTTGTCGGCAGCTTCGATCGCGTCGTGAGGCTACTACGGGGGCTAGGCCGCCGCGAGGGCAGTCATCCACGGGCGTGGGGTTGGAGTGTCGGGACTGTGCAGTAGCAGCAGCAGTAACCGTATGGCTGCAGTCGAGTGGAGAGATGGGGATGCTCGTGATGGTGTCGATGACGACGTGCTTCGAGATGCACGTGTGTGCAGATGGACGAGGACCTGACGATCAGGGTGGGAGAAGCTGGTTGAAATCGACGGGAACCCCTCCTTCTTTTCCTTGTCCTTTTCTTCCTTTTCCTTTTCGGAGGAGTGACGACGACACGAACAGTAGCGCGAAAGCAACTCGACCAGAGGGCGACGAGAAGATTCGTCTGGGTGCGGAATCGGGCGTGGGGATGTTTGTCAGCGTCCTACTGCTGCTGGGCCTATCCTGTCAGGCCCGTTGACGCAGTAGCGTTCGTTACCTGGGTAGTGCCTACCGAACGGGAAATGTGGGGAGCTATGAAGGGCCTTGCAGCTGCCTTGTCTGTGCCGAGCGGAGTGTTCGTGCGGTGGGGACACAACTGTCACGCCTCCATCAGCCTGGCGGTTTTAGCCAGCTAATGTCCGGTTTCTTCATATTGCACTAGATGATGGATTGGTCGCAAATATGTCAAGCCCGATGTGTGAATAATGTCAAATTCAAAATCTGCAGACCATCTTCTTTCCTGATCCTGTTCTCGAGATTGGGGGAAAGAGTGACCGTACATCTTAGCCTTCAAGGAAGGTACCACTGCTCAAGTGGGGCCATGTGCAGGTACCTCCCCACCACCACACCCATCGCCTCTATCGCTTGTACCCCGTCATCTGCCGTGCCATACCGAACCTGAGCCTCAACTCTAACCTTTGCTATCACAGCATCTCCAACTACATGGCAACCACGGAACCCAGCAGCACCACATCATGCCTTGGTGCCATTGACCGCAATCTGTCGCAGCGCCTCAAAGTCGGGAAGACCAAGTCCAGTCACGGGGTCCCATCCTAGTCATGCTGTTAGTCAATTCATTCGTTCATCAGGTCGTCGAATAGCTGCTGCTTACCTTTTGTCGCATTCCACGATGCCCATGGGATGACGCCAGCACCGGGCACCGGATTGCCGCTCTGCAAGTCAATGCCGCCGCAGCCCTCGGCCTTGCCCTCGGTCACATCGAGCAAGCCGTCGACGCCGCGAGCGTACAGCCACGGATTGAGGAAACCCATGGTCGGCTGCCCAGCCCTCAACCGCGCATCGTTGAGCAGGCCGATAATGCCCGCCACCACGGGCGCCGCCGCCGACGTGCCGCCCGTCCGCCGAGGCCTGCCGGCATTGACAAACTGGTACCACGGCTCGAGGCTGTGCGCCGAAATGTCCGGGAACCCACGACCCCCAAAGTCGACGAACCCGCCGCGCTTGTAGTACGACTTGACCTCGACCGGGATCGACTCCTCGAGGTACGTCTTGACGGCCGCCTTCTGGTACCACGCCCGCTCAAAGTAGTTGCTGAAGCCGCCGGCGCTGCCCACCCACGCCACCTCGGGCGCCCACGCCTGCGTACCGCCAACGGCCGTCAGGTAGGGACACGTGCCGGGGAACGTTGGCGTGAACTCGACGCGCCCGCTGCCATGGCACGGCACGGCGCCCCGACACCCGCGTCGCCGCTCGACTCGAGGACAGTCACGCCGCGGAGGCCCATCATGCCGATGAGGTTGCACACGCGCTTCGCGTACTCGACCGGCACCGTCTGCTCATCATCGCCGTACGACGACGACAGCACCTGCGGCACGCCCTCGTCGTCCGTGGCCAGCAGCGTCTCGTAAAAGTCGAGGTACGGCTCGTTCGAGTTGGTCGACGCGTTGGTGATGCGCAGGTTCGGCACGAACGGGGGCGAGCCGCCCGTGATGAACTGCTTCAGCGGCAGGTTCTTCGTCACGGCTGCCAGGAACTGCGCGTCGAGGTTGGCCTCGCCAATGTCGCCGTTGGGGTCCTGGTGATCCTCGCCGCCGTTGATGAGGACCGTCGTAAAGTTTCGGGGCGGCAGCTTGAACGTGTTCAGGTACTGCGTCAGGTCCTCCTGGCGGGCCGACTGGTTGAGGAAGCTGGCGAACGCGACCCGGCTGCCGGCCGCGGGGTCCGCCTTGTAGCTGCCATAGTTGTATGCTTCCTCGAGACAGTCGGGCGTGATGACGGACAGACAGGTCGTCGTGTTGCGGGCTTGTCGGGAATCGAGCTCGGAGGTCTCATCGTCGGGTATCATGCGGTGCGACTTGGTGCGGCCGAAGAATGTCGTTGGTGCAACGAGGTCAATGTGCGCCGTGAGCGTGTCGGGGATGGAGTACTCCGTCGTTCGCAGCTTCTTGTGGCCCTCGACGTCGAACCAGGCAAAGTCCGCCCCGAGCAGTTCATTTGCCTTGGCAACCGTTGTAACAAAGTCAACAAGGGGGCCTCGGCTTGACACGGCAGTGATGCCGGCGTCCTTCAGCCACGACTCGACGGCGGTCCTCGAGTGGTTCGACGGAGCAAAGAGTGCATTGACCTCATCCTTGGAGAGGTACTGCCCGTAGTGTGAGCTCGAAGGGTCGGAGACGGAGCGCAGCTTTGACTCGAGCTTGTGGATGTTCTGATGCTTCAGGGCGATCTGGAGCTGGATCTCGTCTCCGGCCGGAGCTTGGCGGATGAGCTGAATGCTGGCTGGGAGGGTGGCCGCGCGGGAGACAAGGAGTGCCTCTGTCAGGGCGACGAGGGTGGCTGCCACGCAGGCGTGGAGCTTGAGAAGCACCATGGTGTAACAGGAGATGTACTCAAAGGAAGTAGATCATGGGCTTTTCCTGCTCAGACTTGACAGAGCTGGCTTGGCTTGATGTTACAATGGCAAAGAATCAAAGTGCTGATCTCAAGTGAGCGATCATCAACACCTGGCACAAGAAAGACCAAGACATTGGCCGAGGAGAACGAAGAAAAAGTGCCATTCTTGTAGTCCCTCCCGAGTCATTGCCCCATCAGATAGAATGTAAGACTCTCCTCCACAGCGGACTGCGATTACTGGAGCTCGATGACGATGTGAATTCCACCGTCCCCTTACTACAGCCGCCTCGGCTCCCTTGAGATCGGCAGCCTTTCCCGCCGCGTTATCCGTCCTACCGAGCGCAAAAGCTTAACTCAAGCCAATGAGCCAAGGTTCCACGCCGCCAACGGACCGAATGTGGCCATTCGAGCGACACTAGCACTGCAATTGGGGGAGGCCATGGCTATCATTCGGCACACGTCTTTGTTGGCGATTGTCACATAGACTACTGACTTCTGTCGCCCTTCACGAAGGGGCGGGAGAGGGGGGTTCGGGGTCTGTGGGGCGTCGTTGACATTTCTCACCCCCTGGATCTGCGTCAATATGCATCATTCTTCATTACCAGTGCCGGGTCTTGGCAGGGATGCCCGCTCCGCCGTGTGATCGTCTGGCCCACCAACAATATCGAGCTTCCTTTCTGAGACAGACACCTCCAACGTCGCGAACTGTCGTGTGCCATTATCCGGGTCGGACGGCAGCTTTTCTTATGTCCCCCCCTCGCCTCCGCACGTCGTTTGTCGTGCCGTGCTCCGTCGATGGACACAAATCGGCCATCACGACAAGCCCGAGATGCGGTGGGTGAACGACGGCATGGCCTCGAAGAAGAAGTGGCCCGCCACGGGCATCTGCGACACATCAGGGTGCTTCCCGGGAATGGTCACCTGCGTAAACGAGTTGGGCAGGATCCATGGCTCCTTGAAATGTCTGTGTAATCCGGCGTCCCATCAGCTACCAAACAAACCAATGGTCTCGCGTGGCAAACCGGCCTACAGCACCACTCACACATTGTCCTTGTACTTGTGGCTGACCGTCATCTGCCAGTTTGATGCTGAAAGAAAGGCGTTGATCTGCACCTGGAACGAGTTGTACAGCGCGACCGAGCAGATGGTGAAGCCGTCTGGGTAATTGTTGCCCGGCCCCTGGGCGGTGCTTGTGCCGTCCCAGTCCCACGAAACTTTGCAAAAGGCGTCATTGACCTCCTGCGTGAGCTCCGAGTTGGGATCGTAAAAGTTGACTAGCGCTCGTATCAGTAGATGAGCGGCAAAGTAGTCTTTTTTTTTCATTCGAATCTGACTAACACTGCATCGTGCAGGAGTAGAGCGAGGTTGGTGCTGGTTTCGTGCAGCCAACTTTGAGGTCGGCGAAGGTGACATTGAGCCACGGATATCGCGGCCTCGGTGCATCCCCTGGTGTCATGTCGAGGGTGGGCATAGCTGCCACAAGAGGAAGGAGGAAAAAAAGACGCGTAATATACATATTGGTGATGATCAAAGATGTGAGCCGATTAATTGAGTCTGGCAAGTGAGGATGAATTTGCTGCTCCGGCCGGTTCGAAGACTCAACACTTGCATCATCAGTTGTTCGCCTCTGGTCACTTTATAGTGCAAAGGGTCGAGTGCCGCCTCATGCTGGACGCTACCCGCCACTGGCAAGCTTCTTTCATTCATAGCGCACGGCAGATTCCTGAACCGTTGGGTAGATGCGGGCATCCACTCATTGGCTACAGATGTAGCAACTTTGACGCAACCGCGATGCGACCAACTTTGCATCTCCCGTACCTTCGTCAAACAGAAAGGTCTTTTCCTCTCCGGAGATCGACCAGATCGGTAGTAAGACCGTCTATACGAAGCCAGCATTGAAGCGGGCACCCTGCCCAAAGGGTCTTTGCCGGAGAGCTTAGAGTTACACCTGCATCCAAGCTTACCCTTGCGGTTTGTCGCACGGTAAGCCGTGCCGAGAGACACATGTGTTGAACACAGCGTCCAAGATTGGCGACAGTGACAAGGTTGATGACATTGATATCGAGGCAGGTACCACAAGGCCGGACCCAGTGTCTCGGGAGAATGAATTTTTAGCTCTGACCGCCAGTGCTGAAGTCCTGGCGCTGCATATCGACCACGACAGAAGCTGAAAGCAGGACGGACAGAGAAGTGAGGGGACTTGATTTGCACCAGTTGGTAGCAACTCACAGAGGTCCGAAACCACATGGAGCCAGTCGATACCGCGCCGTGACCGCCCGTCGTCACCCATCGCAACGGCTAGCTGCCGGCTGGGCCTGCTGACGTCAAGCCTTGGTCAAACAGCAGAGGACAAATGCCAGCGCGAGCACAGTTTCGACCCGCCAATGAAGTCTCAAGCCTCCACTGGCAGCCTTGTTGAGTAACTGCCAAGTTTTGCCGCAGACCGACACCTATGGTGAGGATCTTGCGGTCAGTAGAGGCCTCCATCGTCTTGTTAGGAGGGAATGCCGTGTGACAGGCGGGCGGATCATGACGCTTCGCACTTCGTATTGCGGCGATGAGCCACTCAGGTCCACAGCTATACAATTTGAGAACAGGAGCTCCCGCGACACGCGTTTGCCTTGAGGAAAACAGTCTAGCATGTCCATCATCGGCACTCAATTTACGTTAGTGACGGCTTCGGCAGTGCCTTTGGGAGCTCTCGAATCGGACAGCCATCCCGGCCAAAGCTTAAGACAGCTGTTGACGTGTCTTGCAACAGAGACTGATGCTGAATCTGGATGAGCATGCCGGGCTCGACATGCCGCCAAGGCAATTTTTGAAAGAACAGTAGGCGTAGTGTAGAATTTGGGTGAGGCTGCAGGGCGTCGTCATGATCTGTAGTCCTGGGTCCGCTCGGGTGAGGCAGCTTGCCGTGACAAGCAAACAGTCTCAAGGCGTGCATCCGTCGACACGTTACTATCACGCGTGGCAAACCGGAGCATGGCCAGGTTTCCCGCCGCAGAGGAGCCGTGGCGTCGAGCCAAGCACGAGGCTTTCAAGGCGTGTTGGCGACATGTGACCAGTTCTAGTGTAGCGTTGTTGTCACGAAGCATCCGGCTTCCGCGGTTGCGGGGATGATATGCGTTCAACGAGTACGAAACCCACGACTATGAACCGGGCTGTTTTGGGGTGACATGTCACGGAGACAGCCCTGTTTAGTTTTGTGGGCGTCTTGAACGTGTTTGCCAACCACCACGAGAGGTGGGTTACGGAGAATGTGATCCTTTGTGAAGCTGAGTTCGCCAGTGATTTGCAACCCTTGCAATGGCTTCAAGATGCCGGCGTGTAGCCATTTTGGTCCATTTGTAAGCCGCATGGCTCGTGACCTTAGAATAGGAGGCATGCTGAGGTGTTGAGTTGTTGTTGGGGAATCTTGATCTCCATTTTCGGCGTCGACTGAGAGGAGCCTGACGGCATGAGACTATTAACTGGACCTCGGTCACATCGTTACCGATCTTGCTTGGGGAACGTGGTTGACAGACAATCGGTCAAAAATGCAGTTCATGTGCAGACGGTTGTGCGATTTCCTTACCACAGATGGCAGTGCCGCATGACTAATCTTGTTGCATGCTTCCCTCGCATAACCTTCACGCCCTCACATCGTGTCGTCAAGGCCAAGGACGCCGATCTGATGATTCGGAGCAAGCTTTCACTTGCGTGCCTGGGAACATGAGTGCATGGTCTCAGGTCTCTTAGCACGTTGCCCCAAGTCGCAGAACGGGATACTCTGCAAGGGTTTCAGTGACACAGGCTTGGGTTCGAGTGCGCCTTTCGGTGTCTCCAAACCCAGCACGTGGTTCAGACAGAGCGCCTCCTTGGACCGTATCTAGGTGGTACCTACCTTAGGTACCTAGGTAGGTAACCAAGAATGCCTCGCCGCATGTCGGTGATCAATTCAGCCTCATTCACCAAGCTGAGACTTTTTTGATGCGATCTCCTTTATAACGGCAGCCATCCTCGAGACCCTGACATGCTTCTCCCACGATGTATGCCACCCGCTCCATCATAATATGCATCGCCAGTACGACCCATACCCAATTGACAGCGAAGGGAGGCCCGCCATGATCCGTCACCCAGCGACGGGATACTGGTGGTCTAGGCTGTCCCTTCGCTTGCTGTCCGTCGTTTTCAACGTTGCCGCTGTCGGATTCTCAGTCTTTTACCTTACGAACTGGACTATAGGCCCTCTTCTCATGATGGGACCTCCGGTGCGTCTCTACCTCGCCCATCCAAATCACCGTGATACTAAATCGGCATCTGCCACGGTAGGCTATTCTCGCTTTTCTCTGGAACTGCCTCGATCTTCTCTGTCTTTGCGTCGTCAATGATCGTCAAGGCGTCCATCCCATCGCTTGCATCATTGTCGACGGCCTGCTGTTCCTCGGGCTGGGAGCCATGTCCGGCGTGATCGCCTTTACCCTGTCAAAGCTCGACGACTCGGGCTACTACTTTGCTTTCTTTCAAGACGAGGCAGGCGAGGAGTATCTTCGCATTGTCCTGGGCTTCGGGATCCTGGCAACGTAAGTGGCGCAACAGCCGTGACAACCCCGCCTGGTCCCCCCCGCGCTGGGCTGAACATCCCAGGATTCTCCATTTAGCAATGTCCATCGTGGCGTGCTTTGAGATGAAGCAGCGCCGTGCTGCCGATGCTCGGTCCACCAGTCGTCGTAATGATTGTGGTGGTCTGACGAGCCAACAACCCCAGGCGGCACCTTTGCTGTCAGATCCACCACCTGCATATAGTCTGTCGTCGAATCAGGCTTCCCGCACCGAAGAGCATGATCAGGTCGTAGTCCCTGGGACGGCTGTGGACTTTTCACCCTCACTGGGAAAGAACGTCCCTTGAGGAATGGACTTTTGTGAGAGTGTCAGCATCTCCGCTGTCTCTGAGAGCAATATTGAAGGCCGTGAAGAGTAAATGGTTGACGCCAAATATATCTGTCATACTCCTTGGCGTCTGAAATATGGTGTTTGTAGCAGCTCGGGCTACCCTTCGGTGCAAGATGTGCCTTCGACAGTCACGGGACAGATAGAAACCGACAGAGTGATGTGGCTAGACAAATTAGGTATGGCCATTCACCGACATCAGAGTGCAGCGGTGTTGGGGCCAGGAACATCCTTCGTAGAACACATCGTCAACTGTGGAGTTGGAGGTCCTCCTTCTGTACTATAAGGGGTGGAGGCGCTGACCGTGCGAGCTGCACCCAAGCTGGTACCTGAGGTCTAAGGTCTCTCCCTAACCATGAGAGGCAGGCCCAGGCAGTGAACAAGCGTCACTTTCCGACTCTCCGAACCCAGCTGCAATGCAATGTGGTGCTATTAATAGCGAGGAGCTATCCACCTCGCAACCCACTCTGGACAATGGCGCTGACGACCCAAGCACGATAGACAAGATTTTGTTCCTCGCCGCGACCAAGAGGGGAAGGGGATCGACGCAAGCTTCCATCTGTGCCATCTCCTTCCCAAAGACGACCGCTTTTCTCCCATGTTGAAGCTGAGAACCATCTCGCAATTGGCGATTTGCGCATTGGCAATGACGAAGACGTTGCTGATCGGTGCGTCCGTTGAGCGTGATCCTAGGATGACGGATGCAGCTTGGTGGGGGGGTGATGGCTGGCAGGGGGGAAGATCAAAGGGCATTCGGGTTGGCCATTCCATGGAGTAGACTAAAAAACCTCACTTTGCAAAAATAAACCAGGTCGTCAAAACTCAACTCGACCATCATGTGGCGTGGGCGTGTGCTGTGTCATGGACGCGAAAGGCCGTTGTTCGCAGCTAGGCCCAGTCCCAATGCTGTCGCCGCATCCAGCAGGAGTTGGTAGCTTGCCTCAGCCGCACCAGCGTGTAAGGTAAGGTAGGTAGTCTCAAATGCTTGAAGGGTCCTTTCTGTTTTGGAAAAAAGCATAATAAAGAGTGAGCAATAGTCTCAGTATGGGGAACAGGGGGGGACAAGGGGGAACACGAGGACCCGCCCTGTTGTAGAAGGATCCACGCCCAAGATCGACGAGACAGAGAGACTCGAGTCTAGGACACGTTGGTCTGCCGTGGAATGGCTCGAGAATGTGGTTATGGTCAACCCTGCCTAGACTTGTGCCATTGAGTTGTCTGGTGGGAATTAGGCGGGCGTTGGGGCCAATATCACGAGCCACAGGTATCTAGGTACCTAGCAAGCCTAAGGTACCTAGGTAGGTACCCAAGGACCCAAGGCGAGGTACTAGGTGGTTGCCCTGTCATCCGAGGAGCCAAGCTGCCGGACCCCGGATTTCTGGCCTGTCCATCTTCTCAACATGTTGTCGCTGGTTGAAGGTCATGACAGGGCCCATTGTCTGCATGGGTTGCGGTAATTTGCCCTGAAACTTGTTTCTCCTGCATGCTCTACAGCAGGTCTCTCAGGCTGCAGACGATGTAGGTAGGTACCTGCTTCTGCTCCCGCACTGCGAGCCCACGCACTCTTCACTCGTCCGCCGCCCCGCCCTCTTCAAAACATCAGAACCAGGCTGAGCTTGCAGCTCTGTTGTCTCCCGATCGGGAAAGGAATAGCGTTGATGATAGACGCAACAGGTGTTCACTGGTTGATGAGCACTGCCCCTTTACCCTCTGTTGACCCCTCTTCCGCCGCGGCGTCTCGCCCCCCCCAGTCTCCCCAGTCAGAGCGGTTGAAGGCTGGGTCAGCCAGGTCAGGCTGGCAGGAAGCTTGCAGGGAAACCTGACCAAGAGGGAACGCCAGCGCAAAAAATAGGAACACGGCGCATCATCTCCCACTCCCACTCCTACTCTCACTCCTCCACTGCCTCACATCCTGCCCTCCCGAACCCGTCCTTGTTCCCTCCGCCTGGCCTTGGTTCGCGGTGGCTCCCTTTTGGCTTTGCTCTGCTCTGCTCTGCTTGGCCTGGCCCTTGCTCCCGTTCCTTGTTCACTGCAAGCCGAGCCAAGGTGAACCGGCGCAGTTCGCTAGCGAGCCCAGTGAGCCAGCCAGCTAGCGGCAAGCCAGCACTGCGCGCGCAACCTGCTTTGAAGCGACCATCTCGCAACTCTGACAGTCCAGCTGGAAAGGGGACCTTGCAGCTCACCGCGTCTAAGCCTCTCACACGGCCCTGGCACAGAAGTTGGTTTGTCTGTTCTTTTGTCGAGACAGGGGCGGAACACACGTCTGCCCTTCTCCATCCCGTCCACCTTTTTTTTGTGCGTCCACCTTTTTACCTGATAATGCCAGTCTTCGGCCGCATTGGCAGGCATAGCAATCGCTCCCAGAACGCGCTTGCTACTGCTCCCGAGCCATCTCCACTACCAGCTTCAGCTTCACCTTCCGGACCCGGGACGGCATCTGGAGCAGGTCAAGGAGTCGGACCAGGACCAGGACCAGGACCAGGACCTGGACAACTACCAGGAGGATCAGTGCCCTCGTCGTCGTCGTCGACGACAGCAGGCCCTGGTGTTGGGCCTGTCGCTGGTGGTCACAACCTCAACCTCAGCGTTCCAGCCTCTGCGGCGCCTTCCTCAGCACCCCCCAGCGCTACTTCCTCCTCCCTTTCTGCCGCATCGGGCGCTTCCCCTCAGCAGCAGCAGCAGCAGCAACAACAACAACAGGCTGCGGCAGGCGCCATCAACACAAACAACAACCTCAACCACCGTAACATCATCTCAACCTCTACCGTTACCACACCCAGCAGCGGCAGCAATACCGCCAACCTCCGTCATTCTGCTTCCCCCACTGCTGTCTTTAGCCAGAGCGAAGCCCTCGACCGAGCTATTCAGCAGCAGCAGCAGCAACAGCAGCAAGCGCTCTCCCACGACTACAACAACCCCGCCACAGCCTCCCCCCATCGCGGCTCATCACAGCTGCACAACCCCGCGCCTGTGCCTGGACAAGCTCCTCCCGGAGCTTTCGACCCCCGATTCAGGAACCAGGACTTTTCCGACTCGGTTTCCCGGTCGCAATCTCAACGCTATTCCACCACTGCTCCTCTGCAAGTCCATCCGCACTACGGTGTCGCCTCCAATTCGGTCGACGATCTCCAGTCCACCCTCCACCCTGCCGGCCCCGGTGGTCTGAGCCAAGACCAAGGTCACGCGCCGCCCGCGCCCGCTCCTGCTGCACAGCCAGAGAAACGCTCAACCCGCAGACTGATTAAGAACATCTTGACAGGGTCAGGCCGAGACCACCACCATCATCACCAGCAGCAGTCGTCCCTGTCACAGCCGCCCCAGTCAGCCCAGGCACAGCCCTACGACAATACCGGTGGACTAGCCCGACGGCCTTCCAAGCGGGTGAGCAACCCACCATCCATCAGGACCGGCCCTTCACAGCTGTCCCAGGTCTCTCTGGACCAACCCTCTGACTGGGCCCCTCCCGTTGTTCAAACACAACCTTCACCTCTGCAAGGATACGGCGAGGCCGAGAACCAGTACTTTGGGCATTCTTCGAATCGCGACACCTTTGCGCAGACCCCCCAAGACGCCAACACCCGAAACTCGGTTCGCTACGTCTCCAGTGACTTGGAATCGTCTCCCTACGAGGACAGCGCCTACCAACAACAACAACACCAACAACAACATCACTCAGCGCAGCAGCAACCGCTGCAACAACAAGGCCTCCCACTGCTCCAGACTTCGCCTGACCAACAAGACCAGTACGGACAAGCGGCATTCGACTCCTCGCCTCAGCAACAACATTACCAGCGAACCAGCCAAGCGCACGAACAATACCCCGGCGGACCACCCCCCATATTCACCGACAGCGGCCATCTGTCAACAAACTCGAGACAGCAGAACCCGGAGACGAGTTCGCAGCTGTCTCACGAATCACCCATTGCCGACCTCGACGCCCGTTCAGGCACCTATTCGAATCAACACTCTCCTGCCGTGCATTACGCTTCGCACCAAGCAACCGATAGCCCCGTGACTCTGCTGCCTCCCAACCATCAACAGAGAGAAATGGCACCGGGTGCGAGTCGGCGACAACAAGATTCGGAAAAGAGCCTGCGTGGACAAAGCGAAGCACAGGCAGGAGCTCCTCCCAACTACAGACAGAGCCAGCCTCCCATGCCTACCGGCTCCTCGACAACAGGCCAGGGTGCGGGCCTACGCGCCATCCCCGGTCCGGAGAGGCAGCCTACATTCGACTCACAGTCGGGCGACCAAGGCCGCAATAGCCCTCAACCTACCAACGTTGACCGCGATGCTGCCGATCCCGATAAGTTCAAGGAGCTATGTATGTGCAGACGTTTGACTGTCGATGGGAATTTTGACTAATGCGTTGTAGTGTTCAAGTACAAAAATGTCAAGCGTCTCTACTTTGATGGCAAGAGTCAAATTGAGAATCTGGGCTCGCAGATTGAGCAGCTGCAGAACGCAGTCGCAAACCAGCGCATCACCCAATCTCGGACGGCGCTCGACGACAGCGAGTACCTGACCAGGTTCAACCGTCTCAATGGTGCCATCAATAACCTGTCCTTCAACATTCGTAAAGACTGGAAGAGCGTGCCGCAGTGGCTTGACAGATATGTAAGCAGTGACGCGCTCAAGACAGGGCGGCAGGAGATGACGGCGGTTGGCCGGGCGGTCATTACGCGATGGATCGTCGAGGAGATCTTCAACAAGTGCTTCCATCCTGGGCTGAGCCCTGGGCTCAGCCAGCAGCTCAAGGAGATTGAGCTGAGCATTCGGCGCAACTCTTACACGATGAACGCGCGGGAAGAGTTTGACGCCCTGACAGCCAAGATTGTCAGCTGGAGAATGGCTACGCTGGAAGGTCTGCAGAGGACACTGAACTCGCCGGAGAGCGAAGAGAACCGGGCGCACTGGACGAACCTCAACACGGCGAAACTGACGACGCAACTCTACCAGTATCTGGCCGAGCCACCGCCACCAGGTGTTGACGGAAGCGCCTCGATGATTGTAGAGCTGGCCGTGGGTATCGCCGCCAACATGCCGCTCGAGAGCAGAGACGTAGCCATCACATATCCGCTGCCTGGCGATGCAGTCAACGTCGACTTGATGGATGTCGAGAAGACAGGACTTCCACCTGTCGAAACGGCGAGCGACGACGCAGAAGATGACGAGACAGATACCAAAGAAAAGACGGGTGGTAAGGGGCGCACAGAGAAGTCGAGAAGCGGTATGTTCTCCGCCTTTCTCGGCGGCGGCGGCGGCAGCAGCTCCACGTCGTCGTTCCCGCCGAGAAAGAGTAGCTTGGCGTCTAGTACTGACGCGCCTGTCTCCTCAGCTCTACCACCGAAGGACAGCAACAAGGTCCGGTTTGCGGCATTCTTGGCTGTGGAGGTCCGCGGTCGACAGGTGCTGACAAAGGCGCCGGTCTGGACGCTGGGGTGAAGGATGCTTGAAGGCCAAAGTTTCAAGAGAGACACATGGTTCGCGTGTCACTTGGTAGACGTGGAACACGGGTGTATGGCGAGGCTTACGAGAGACATGACGATGCATTTTGTGGCAGACAGTCCCCTTGTCTGCGCCGCTTGGCGGGGGGGATTGGTATTTTTCAGAGAGAAGGGCTCTGTACTAGGCAAGCCTGCTTCGCTCGGCTCGACGAGCTCGTACGTACGTAGCATGATACCAAGCAAGACGCTCGTTACGCCGTATGCAGTGCTGTAGCTCGCGTTCATAGTTTGACCCGTGCCTGCCCACCTTGAGGTCCGAGGACGAGACCAACCTGAATAAATAAATGGCACTGGATCGCGTCTCGAGCTTTGGTGACCCCCCACCTGCCCCTCCTCATGGTCGTCTTGGCAGAGGTTGACATGTCACCGCCTGCCGTTTTGAGACTAAATTGCCAAGCACCCCACCACGCCTGTCAACACCAGGAAGCCAACATTTTGATCGACTGCGATCGAGACGTCTTGCCGAAGCCCCGAGAAGGAAGGTCAAGAGCGCGCGAACAGACCAACCAAGACTCCCAAATCACCTGTCCCATCTTCGCCCAGAACCTGCGACGCCATGTCCCAAAACCCAGCCCACCTAGAGCCCTCGAAGCTCGGTACAAAAGACTAGTACGCTTCGCTGCCCCCCCCCCCCTCACACCCAGCAGGCCTGGTGCATGGGATATGTCGTCTTGTCAGGGTAGTCAATGTTACACGAAGGCGCGCTGCTGCATAAGTTGCTTCTCTGGGGGTTTGCTTTTCAATCTGCTGCTGGCATCCACGTGGA